GATTGATCCTGAACACTCCTATTGGTGTTTGTTGGAGGTGATTGATCCTGAACACTCCTATTGGTGCGTGATGGAGGTAATTGATCCTGAACACTCTGCTGGTTTGTTCTCTCGCAGACTCTGCTGAAGGATCCGTTTTACATGGGGCTGTACCAGAAGAGGGATCGCTCGCAGGTGTACGATGACCTGATAGACGAGTTCATGGAGGCCATTACGGACAGGTATGGTGCACAGGGATGGCACAGAGCACTCTGACTCCTGTCCCTGGAGCTCTGAGGTAGTGAGGGAAGGACCAGGAGCTGTGGCAGGCGTGTGTGCCTGTCCCTGGGGTGACATCCTTGGTGACCTAGAACACACTGCCTGTATCTCTCTKCTCAGCACACCGTGCCTCCAGAGATCATTCACTGCGTGCAGGGCTCTTTGTGTGTTTCTGCACTAGTGGAAACGTTTGCCATGTTCTGCAGGTATGGCCAGAACACGCTCATCCAGTTCGAAGACTTTGGAAACCACAACGCTTTTCGRTTTTTGAGGAAATACAGGGAAAAGTACTGTACCTTCAACGATGACATTCAAGGTACATCCTTTGTGTGTTTTTCTCAGTATACATGCCAAAACTTTGCCCAGGGCACAGCCTGCCAGGCAGACATGTTCAGCTGCCCTGAGATTTGTACTGCTTTTGCAGGGACAGCCTCGGTGGCCTTGGCAGGACTGCTGGCAGCGCAGAAAGCCACTGGAAAACCACTTACAGAACAGAAAGTGYTGTTCCTTGGAGCAGGAGAGGTCAGTTCCCTGAAGGGTTTAAGATGTTTAAATGTGTATTTTCTCATCCTGTAGGACTTGTGGAGATTTGCATTCTCTGAATTCCATTGCACAAGTTTTTGTATAAGGCCAGCTGAGATACATTAGCAGAAGGGACTCTACCTAATCAGGATTATGTGAAAAGTTTATCATTCTCAGGGACTCATTTTTCATTTGCTTGCATGGCCTTGAGAAAAGCATCAGGGACTTGTGTGTATTTGAAAGGAAATTCACCATAAAAAGGTGATGTAGTAAGCCAATSTCGTTAATTTTTATGGCTCTGGAGAGAAGCACGGGGAGCTTTTCCCAGCAAGGTGATTCAGCGTGCAGCAGGCAGCGGTCACCGAGCACAGCGAGCTCCTCGGTACATCAGCACAATTGCTCCTGTGGTGCTGACAAAATAACTCAATTATCTGCGAAGTTCTCCATCTGGGGAAAGGCCCTGATTRCAGCAATTGGCCCTGCTCTGCATCTCGCTGTGTCTCATTGCTGCTGCCAGGCTCAGCGGCCAG